GCTAGGTCAACTTTTGTTTCCATTAGCGGTAGACACAATGATTGCCCCAGTGCCATGAGAACCGTAGTTTGCATGCCGGCCAAGATGTCTTTCCCCAGTAGAGGGGCTGGGCTCTCTTGCATAATTAGCAAGGTATGTGTGGAGAGAATATCATCCCCTTCACAACTGAGAGGTTGGGAGAAGTATCTGGTTAGAAATTTTCCTGACACCCTTTACAGTTATGTGATGGGCAGAGAGGAGGCCAGGTTTTTGAGAGAACTGAATAGTTAGCTCCCATGTCAAGGAGGAATTTTATCTGCCCCGCCCCCCTTCAACATTCAAGGTCATCTGAGGTTCCAGTTCAAAGACATCAGTTCAAAAAATGAGAGCCAGATGAGGATACCTCAGGCTTCCTCAGTCCTGTTGCTGAACCATTAGGGAGGTGTCTGATCCCAGTGACCTTCATCACTGCGGGGAGCAACAACCTACGATGGTCTCCTTTGCAGACTGGACATTGTTTGGGGGGCAGGTCCCTCTCCTTCTAGTGCATTCCCATTGGAAGTGCCTTTCTTGTCCACACTTAAAGTAAGACTTATTAGCTCTCCCTTCTCTGCCTAAGGGATCTCTCCTGGAGTCAGCCTCCCACAGGGCAGCCACCAGGACTGCCATCTTCTCCCTTTTATATTCCCTCGTTTTTTTTTTTAAGTATTTCCTCATCTGTTATAAAATATTTTTTGTAGTCACTCTTTTTGAGTGGCTCAGGCTTGCTAAGCAAGTGGTCTACCACTTGAGCCACTCCATCAGCCCTTTTTTGTGATTTTTTTTTTTGACATAGGGTCTCCAGAACTATTTGCCCAGGGCTGGCTTTGAACCATGATCCTCCTGATCTCTGCTTCCTGATTAGCTAGGATTATAGGCGTGAGCCACAGGTACCCAGCTTTTGTAGCCATTTTTAAAAGACTAAGGTATTTTCAGGTCCCAGTGGAATTTTTTTGAAGTTTCTTCTGGATATCCAAAGCAGTCTGGGTTATAAACTTATCAATATTAATTAATAATAACTCCCCTCATAGGAGTCAGAGGCCATACTAGTATGCTCAGTCAAAGCTTCTCTCAATTATTCTAAAAAGGCCAAGGGAGTTTTCTCAGGACCTTTTGTGACCAGAGACAACTGGGAGTAATTTAGGGGCTCAGAGCATGTCCTCCTCTGTCCCTCCAGAACAAAAGAGGAAGAAATGTTTGTCTCTGCAGTAACCTATAGGGTCATTAAGATTCCTGGTCAGTTTATCATGGGGTACTTCCTGACTTCCAGGAGGGAAGTGATCATTTCTATTACCCATTCCAAATAACCTATCATTTTTCTCATTCATGCTGTATGATTCATCCACATAAGCCCCAGCAACCTGTAGGGCCCTGATCTTTTCAGTGGGAGTCAGTTTTATTCAAAAGTGGCATAATGTCCTTCCAAGTAAGGTCAAATATCTCCAATTTCCCTAAGAACTTCCATATTCTTATCTGGGTCATCAGAGAATTTTCCCAATTCTAAGTTCATTTGTCTAAGTTCTTGTAATGAAAATGAGTGAAAAATCCTTATATACGTGTCATCAGTTTCTACATTCCACTCTATTAGTGGTAACAACGAAGGGTACAGGGGCAGAGGGATCTCATTCCTCTGGGTGAGGAGAGTATGTCAGGGCAATAGGGAAAAGTTGTGGGGTTTTTGTTTTTGCAGTACTGGGGTTTGAACTTAGGGCCTCAGGCTTGCTAGGTAGGACTCTACCACTTAAGCCACTCTACCAGCCCTTTTTTCTGTTGGGTATTTTCGAGACAGGTTCTCCAGAACTACTTGCAGAGGCTGGGTTTGAACTGCGATACTCCTGATCTCTGCCTCCTGAGTGGCTAGGATTACAGAAATGAGCCACTGCTGCCTGGCAGTCCTGAATTTTCCATAGATTTCTTTAGATAATTATATATATGGAACAAGAATTCCGGAAACATTGTTCCACACTTACTCACTTTTTCAGGATCCCTGACAAGCCCCCAGAAATGATGTGGTAGTCTCAGGTGTGCAGGAATAGTTGCCAGGAACTTTGTCCTATGCAATGGAAGAATGAGAGTCATAGAAAATGAGGTGAGCCAAAAAGTGGAGTTCTATTAAGCAGAGAGGAAGAAAGAAGAAAAGCTTCTGTATAGGAGGGGTCTTAGAAAAGCTGAGCTGCTCAAGGCTCCTTTGTCTAAGGGTCTTATGAAGATTCTTATTTCCTGGTTAAAGGGAAGCCCATCTAATTCTCATTTATTCACCTGCCTCTCATTAAATTTATGCTTTTCTGAGCTCTTGGGTTTGTGACAGTCTTGCTTCCTCTTCTGCGTATAAGATTCCTTTAGGTATCTTCTGCAGTGCTGGCTTGGGTTCATGAATTGACTTCCTTTGTGATTATCATTGCAAAATAAAAGCTTGACACAAGGATGAGGCTGTCTCTGTCCCTTCCTAGGCTGTACTCTGATAATTCACCTACACAACCTGCTTCTCAGGTTTTTACCAGCAGTCAGTTCCAGATCACAGTCCTCCAAATTTTGCACCCACATATCTGGTATCCCAACTGCATACCCACTCCTGGCTTGTATCTTTTACTTTTTATTCCCCAGTCTATTTCTTTCTTTCTTTTTTTTGGGGGGGGCAGGGGCAGTACTGGGGTTTGAACTCAGGGCCTACATCTCGATGGGTTTTTTCGAGATAGGATCTCTCCAACTAATTGCCCTGGCTGGCTTCAAACAGTGATCATCCTGATCTCTGCCTCCTGATTAGCTAGGATTACAAGCATGAACCACAGATGCCCAACTTCACAGCTTATTTCTTGAAATGGGGTCTTGTAACATTTTGCCCATGCAGGCTTCAAACTATGATCCACCTCTCCAGTAGCTGGAATTACCAGCCTGGAAAACCACACTCAGCCACAGAAGTTAATTTATATGCACTGAGATAAGTATAACCACTGATATATAAAGGTACGTTTTACGATTTTTGATGGTGGAAATGTGCTCAGGAGAAATGTCTCTGACTTTCAAGGTTTGCTCTCATGCCAGGGCAGCAACATGCAGTGATACTCTGATGGTGCTGGGAATGGCAGTGAGCTCCAGCACAGTGGACGTGCTGCTCGGGAGCATGAAAGCCGACATTATGCTGTATACTGCATTCAATGAACTGCATGATACATTCAACACATCATGATAAAATAGACTGAAAAATGTGCGAGACTTCAGCATGTTCGTGGAAGGCTGGGCTCACCTTTGATGCTCTGTAGGTAAGTCACATTCAGTGCATTTTCAACTTAGGATATTTTCTTCTCACCGTGGCTTTATGGCAACACAACACGATAAGAAGTTTAAGAGCATCTGTACTTACACAGAATGGAGTAGAATGCATTGGAGAAAATACTTTGTTTTCATATTGTCACACAGACCAAAAAAAAAAAAAAAGACCCATAGACTGGAGCCAGCTTCATTCTCTCATATATGCCAAGACTTCTAAAGGGTCAAATCACACACCTCTGATAACAGGTGATGCTCCTAAATGACTGGGATGAAAGTGAAAGGCATCTGATTACTGGCTCTCTTAATTTATAAAAGGAAACATTTCAAGAAATTAACATAAAATGAAATAAAAAACAAGCAAAGATCTTATTAATCTACTGACTGGCATGTGAGGAGCAGTGCTTCTGGTCACTCCACTGCTCCAGCCTTCCAGGTTAGGACTATTACATCACCAAGACAAAATTGCATGCACCCCTCAGAGCATCCAGTAGAGGGAGCCACCTCACTACATAGAACTAACGCCAGTCTTGTCAGAGAATCTGTGGAGACTGCTTTTAGTGAGGAACCACACAGTCACTTACGGTGTGTGGAGAGATTTATTATTACATCTTGGGCCGGAAAGTGGCACAAGTGGTAGCTCACCTGCTTAGCAAGCGTGAGGCCCTGAGTTCAAACCTCCATAGCTACATCTTGTATAATAAGATATTATGAGACAAACAGCATGTTCTTGGAGGTCACTGGCAGGAGGACATATACATCAGAATAATGTCTTTGTTACCATGAGTGAAGGATAAATGACAAAATAAAGCTTTAACAAGATAACCAATTTATAGGAGAGAGAAAACATGGTAATAATGACTCTTGAGGACAAAGAAAAACATGATAATCATATTACTAACTGATCTTCTCAGTTTACGATGGGATATTTGTAGGCATATGCACATTAAATAAAAAAGATAATGTTTCTTAATCTACAAGTTGCATGAAACAGCTGAGCTTTCTGAAAAATGCATAGAAATCTTAGTTAAAACACACATCTGCTGGGCACCAGTGGCTAACGCCTGTAATCCTAGCAACTCAGCATGCACAGATTGGGAAGATTGAGATTCAGAAGCCAGTCCAGGCGCATAGTTCCAGACTCTATCTCGAAAACACAATACAAAAAAGGGCAGGTAGAGTGGCTCAAGTGGTAGAGTACCTGCATAACAGGACCTCATGCTTACTAGGCAGGTGCTCCACCACTTGAACCATTCATCAGGCCCTTCCCAGGGTTTTGGTGAGTGTCAACAGATTTTGTGCATCCCGTGTTTGTCAAGATTTCTTGACATTCTTTTATATCTGTGACTAGAACCCAGATGACTAGAGATGTTCCCACATGCTTTACCTTGATAAAAGTTCTCTCCACTCTGCATTCTACTGTTTCACCAAAAAGCCAATGATAATGAAGCCTTCTTACATTCTATATTTATGATTACTATCTAGTGTGAGTCTTATAATGTCTTTTAGGGAAACAGGGATAAATGAAATCTTTCCCACACTGATGACATGAGATTTCTCTTCACTGTAAATCCTTTCATGTATTTGAATGTAAGTGGGACAACTAAAGGTTTCCCACATTGCTTACATTCCTAAGACTGGTTTCTCTCCAGTGTGCTTTCTTTTGTGTGGATAAATGTAACTGTAAGAATTGAAGGCTTTCCCACATTGCTTACACACATAGGGTTTCTCTCCAGTGTGAGTTCTTTTATGTACTTGAGATTACTGGAACCCACATTGCTTACATTTCATAAGGTATCTCTGCAGTGTGAGCCCTTTCATGTTTTCTGAGGGAAATGGGATGACAGAATGTTTTCCCACATTGATTACATAACAGAATTTCTCTGCAGTGTGAGATCTTTCATGTATTTGAACACAAAGAGGAAGAACTAAAGACTTTCCCACATTGTTTACACACAAAGGCCTAATTTCCACTGTTTTTCTTTTGTGTATTTGAAAGTATCTGTAAGAACTAAAGGCTTTCTTTCCCACATCGCTTACAGAAATAGAGTATCTTTCCAGTGTGAGTCTTTTTACGCTTCTCCTGGGACGAGGGATAATTGCAGGCTTTCCCACACGACTTAAGTTTATACAGCTTCTACCCATATTCCTGATACCCATAGGGTATGTGCTGAAGGTAAGCTCTAAGGGGCACATTTACAGATAAATGACTGACCAATGAGGGCTTCTCCACACACACCATTCTCACATGCTGATCCATCTGTAGAAGTGTTTCTTGTTCAGAACACGATCTGAAGACTGAAGATTTCTCCACACTGACCACCTTGTTTATGATCACAGAGTCTTCTGACCATTCTACATCTGTAAGAAAGAAGCACACTACTAACAGTTTGTTTATTAATGATTCATCATTGAGAAGTACTTGCTTATTCCCTGAAAGAACTTTTAGGACTGGAGGTGTGGCTCAGTGTTAAAGACTACCTACTTTACAAGAGTGAATCCCTGAGTTCAAACCCCTACCCCCCTTAAAAAAAAGAAAGAACATTTTTTTTCCTAAGATACATAAAAAGGCTTAATTTGCAGGGGAGCAGGAATTTAATCAAACAGACAAAATCCTGTGTCATTATCAGACTCCTCAGACTACTCTTTATTCTCATCTTTCTTCTCTTCTCCTGCAGTAAGGGCAGAACTAGCAGCAGGAGCTGCAGAGTCAGGACCAGCAGAGACAGCCACAGCCCCACCAGTGCGCACACTGGCAAGCTTGCCAACACCCTGAACAATGACATCTTCGATGTTTTTCTCGTTCAGTTCACCTTGTTGAGCCCAGTCATCTTCTGCATGGATGCCCACACTATCTAGGATCTTCTTGATGTCCTTGGCGCTGGGGGAGGAGCTGCCCCTGAGGGTGGCCATCAGGTAGGAGGTGACTTAGTGTGGGTTGGTTTCAGTGGACAGGCCTCAAGCATGCCTCAGGTTTCTTTTTTTTTTTTGGTGAGACTGGTGTTTCAACTCAGCATGTTGTTCTTGCAAAGCAAGTGCTCTACCAGTTGAGCCACACCTCCTGTCTATTTTGCTCTGGTTATTTTGGAGATGGGGTGTCACCAACTATTTGCCCAAGCTGGCCTTGAAACTCCTGATCACAATCTCCGTATTGGCTAGGATTATAGGCTAAGCCTGCAGCCCGTGGCTATATCTGATTTCATAATAATCCTTTCAAGTTTTAACTGTCTGATATTGACTGCATGTCGATATCACATTTAAATACCATTGGTATTCTTTATGGGGAATTTTTAGAACAAAATTTTAGATTTTGAAACATTTGCAAGTAAATAATGAAACATGTTAAAGTCAAGTTCTATCTAAACAAAACTCATTTTGGTTTCAAATATACATTAAAACCAAAGTTTAAAGGTAATTAACAGAACAGTTTTAATAATTCTGTGCATAGATGGAACTCTGTGTCCCTTAAGCTTTCAGAACTGACACTTGGGGTATCGTGTTGGAGTTCAGGAAGTTTCCAATAGTGGAATATCTCAGATTTTAAGTTTTCCAAGTATGAATACTCTAACTATATGCAGTTTTTTTGGGTAGCATTGGGTTTTGAACTTAGGGCCTCATGCTTGCTAGGCAGGCACCCTACCTCTTCAGCCTCTCCGCCAGCCCTTTTTATTTGATGGATGGTTTTTTTTTTCCCAGATATAGTCTCTTGAACTCTTAGGCTTTGAACCACAATCCTCCTGATCTCTGCCTTCTGAGCAGCGAGGATTACAGACGTGAGGCCACCGGCACCAGCTATATGCAGATTTTTTAGACAATTTTCTGAGATGAAATCAATTTGAGCCTGGTCTTATTTGTATCATCTGCTTGTATTTAATATTTCCTGTCACTCCACAACTCCTGAGGAAAATTGTGTGCTCTTCTGAATGCAAATTACCTCAGGTCTCTCCAAGGATTTTTGTTATTGTCAGTATTCTGGTCTTCTTTTCCTAAAACAGAAACAAAAAATATCATTATGAGGAATTATAACTTCATTAGAATCTAGCTATCATCACAGTATCATGGGACCATGACTGGTATATTCACCAAAATGTACCCCTTACTTATTTCACCTCATAGAATGGCATGGATGAACAGCAAACATTCTCTGATTGACTGAGGAAGACAATAATGTCACACTCACCTATAGAGGCCAGGTTCCTGAAGGTTTCCTGCATCACTTCCCTTTTAGGGCTTCTTCTGAGAACCATGCAACAAATGCCACTTCTCCAGGGTGAAGGTCACAGCTACAGCCTCAAAGATCATTGATTCCTAAAATATTCCACATAATTTCCATGAGGAAGGAAGGGAACCATAGTCTCTGAGATATAGACTCATTCATCACATTAATACAGTGCTACATTTTCCAAATGATCACTCCATGTCTTAGTCATCACACTCTTACTCTCACACAGAACCCACTTTTTGGGGAGAGAGAAGCGGTATTGGGATTTGAACTCAGGGCTTCATGCTTGCAAGACAGGCACTCTACCACTTCAGCCACTCCACCAGGCCTTTATTGTATTGGGTATTTTTGAGATAGAGTCTGGCAAACTATTTACCCAGGCCAACCTCAAACCTACATCCTCTTGATCTCTACTTCCCAAGTGCTAGGATTACAGGTGTGAGCTACTAGGGCCCAGATCACACAGCAATTCTCACACTAGATTAGAACTATTTGGTAAAGCAAAAGCAAAACTGGAACATATATTGTGCTGCTGGCCATTCCAACTTCTCTCCTTGTGCATTAGGTGTGAAGCACCTCTCACACCAGAGTCCAAGTGCTTAGTGTGCACTAGGGAGTCAATACCAGCTCCCCTGAGACTGTGTATTCTTAGAAATGCTTCTGAACAAAGGTCACCCTTTTTAGTATGTGGGATCAACCTCACCAGGTAACTGTACAGAAGTGCATGGGATTCCAAACAGTTTATGTCAACAATGTGCTATTTTTCAATCCTGTTGTCCCTCTGAACACTTACAAGTTTCTGACATGCTCATCAAAGGCAGCCCACCTGATCAGTGCCCAACACACACTCTGTGACTCTGATACATCATTTTTAACACCTCTTGTCACAACTTGTTGCTTTGGAAACTGAGCACTTCTTCTGTAAGCAATTACAGAAGCAGTAACATTTGGAAGCTTATACCTTTTTTCTTATAGACCATATTAGTTAAATACTAAATAAAATTCCTGAAAACTAATTCACTGAGCTAATGGAAAACTGTAACACATTTATTGATAATATCAAATGAGAGTGAAATAAGGGGAAGGATGTTGTTAGAGCTCACTGCCACCAAGTGAAGGTCATTGCTCACACGTATGTATAATATTCTCTAACTTCAAAAACACACACTTAGTAAGGCTGGAGGTGTGGTTCAAGTGGTAGAGCACCTACTTAGTAGTGTTAGTTCCTGAGTTCAAAGCCCAGTACAGCAAAATACACACCCACACACACACGCCACATACACACCCCACTTCAATAAGACCTACTTCACCAAATCTACTGTGTCTAAATTCTAACTTTTAAAATCTTTGAAACAAGAAAGTGATAGCTTAACTAATGTCCCAAAAGATGTTTAAACTACACTACTGGAGACACTATACTATTATCAGAGACTAACAAATAGATTACGGAAAGGAACAGTCTTCCCTATGCCTTCATTAAACAGAAAACTGATTCCTAGCTGAGCAACACTGCGTGAGTGGCAGAATCACAATCTCTTCATTACAGCAGGCAGGGACTAACTGGCGTGTACCTGGAAACATTCACTGCACTTCCCTCTATTCCATGGGCAGCACAGGATTCTTGGTATGTGATTCCAAGGACACCCACTTTGAGGAAAACCAGGAATGCTCAGGATAGACAGAGCGCAGAACTATAAAAATTACTCAAACTTACTTATAATGTATATACAGTTAGTCTGAGCATTCATAAATGGAAATCATCAGGAATAGATTACATTAATGTAACAAAACTAATGCTGTACACACTGAGACTGCGTAACACAAACAACATTTCATGACCTTTATTCTTTAGTACTTCAGATGCTTGACTCATTTTTCCCATAGCACCAACCAATGTCTGCTAACAAATGTGCTATTCCTTTCAACAAATCTGAAATTTGCACTTTATCATATAAGCACATTATGACTTATCAGCTCAGTGGGGAGGTGGGTGGGAATCTTCAAAAAACATTTACTTTTTGGGAGGAACACTTTCAGAAAACTAAAGGCAGAGTACTGTTCATTAGTTCACACACAACGATTTAAATGCAACTGAGGATGATGCTGGACTGAGAACGTCTCTGTATCAACAGCAGTGTAATACACACACAGGAAATTTTTGTACTTGAACTTTGCCTTGTGATTTTATGATTTTTTTTTGACAGCAGTTGGTCAAAACTGTGCATTATAAATCCAAAAATAATGCAGGCTTATTGTAAATTATACATTGAATGAGGAAAAGCAAAACTTGAAAACTTTGAAAAGCCATAGTCAATAGCCGTATGGATGTTAGAATAGCTTCCTCAGAAGGTAAGAAGGCTTAAAAGCAGGGGCTGGAGGTATGGCTCAAGTGGGGGAGTGCCTGTTTAGCCAGCACGAAGTCCTAAGTTCAAAATTCAGTATGGACACACACAGAGAAACACAATGAAAACTCTAAGGAGGATGATGGAGAGGGTGAATTCAATTATGATATATTGTAAGAACTTTTGTAAATGTCACAATGTAGACGAGTACAACAATATGATAGCCTTCAATTTCTGGGATTAACCTCTTATAGGACACATAGTCCAGATTCCAACAAAATCTGCATCCTTCACTACTCACCTGCACATTGCACAAATCCAGAATCTCAAATGTGACATTTGTTTTCACTTTACATGAATCTGAAGGTATCTGCGTGTTGCTACTGCTCTTACTTACCTATGTTACTTTCCTGTCCCAAGTACCCCCTGCACCAGCCAGTAGCACTGCTGTTCCAGAACTTATGCAGTATTTACAAATATTTTCGACAAATAAGTGATGGTTTATCCAAAATGCTGTCAACTTCTTTCACATATTTGTTGATTAGTGGCCTCATTACTGTTCATAGTCCAAAGAGAGGAGAAATGTTTAAGTCGGAAATATTATTTCATTTGTTTGCTTGTTCATTTGTTTGGTTACTTGGGGTACTTGGACTTGAACTCAAGGCCCACCCCTTCAGCCACTGGACGTCCTATTTTTGTGATGGGTTCTTTCCAGATGGGGTCTGGAGAACTACTTGCCTGGGCTGCAGTCGTACCCGATTCTCCTGATCTCTGCCTCCTGAGAGCTAGGATTCCAGGCGGGAGCCACAGGCACCTGGCTGACATGGAATCTCCTAGAGGCGTGCAGGCTTTCAAAGTGGAGAAAGTTGATGTCATGTCTAGATTTACATATCCTTCCTGCACGGAAAGCTCCACGTGTCTCCGAAAAGGCTGTATGAGCTTCTGAGGACTGTCAGTGAACAGCACAAAATTATTTCTCAGACAGCTGTAACTGAATGGGTCCGGATCTGCGTGAGGAAGCAAACAGCGAAATGGCGACAGGAACGCTTCTTGACGCTGAGCTGGCGTCAGAGAGGTGGCCATGGTAACCATTGTGACAACTAGACTTGCAGCCTAGGGATGGCGTCCTGTAGCAGGTTAGCGCCAGGCAGGTTGGGCCACCTGGAGCCGCCAGGCAGGACGGTGGTTTGCGCTGCCTCTGAGGCGCTGATGGGGATGCTGAGATTTCGTCGGTAGCGAAGAGTTCTGCCGATTGGAGGCACGGCATGTAGGCTGCCCAATCGGACACAGAAGCAGAGGCCACGGGGCGGGCTTCAGCGATCTGGGGCGGGTTTTAAACTGACAGTCGCTGTCAGAGAACAACTAGGACTTGTGTCCAGGCTGTGTCCTCTGTTGGGGCCGTTCAGGTGACTTGTCAGGCTCAAGCAAATTACATGGAGGTCGCCCGGCACGCTAAAACCAAGGATATGGGGCGCAGGTCAGCGTCCTGAAGGAGAAGGGCGGCAGTTTGTAGCAAGCGGTTGGCGTCTCCCCACTCCGCGTCGGTGAGTCCTGGAGGGCAGCTGGACCGGGGTCGCCTCTGGCCTTGGCGGTTGGGGACGCGACCTTTAGCGCCTTCTGGCTGGGGGAGGGGCTGTCAGGACAGGGCGCGGGCCTAACGCTCTCCCTACTTGTGGATGACGGGGAGGTGAGCGGGCATGTGGACATGGTAGGATGTGTGGTCCATGACCACCCCGGGCTGCCTTCCTCCTGTGGGTCCACGCTTTTGTCCCCAACTTTCCAAGTAAGTGAAAAGCAGTCTTAAATACAACCACCGTCACCTCCTAATCCAGCGCCTCTTTGGCCTAACCATCAATCCTTAAACATCCTCATCCCAGCCCATATCCCACAGCACCGACTTCCCCTTTCCGCAGCATTATCAACGGTTATTGCTCAGGCACAGTTCTAACAGACAGTATTGCATCCTTTTTCCTTTTTCAAAGGGTGTGAATATTTCTCTGTTTGTGCACATATTTCACATTAGAGGAGGGTAGAGAAGAATCTCTTGAGCCCTCTTTGTGTCCTCTCTGTGTTTTTTTCTTTTCCTTCGCTTTTTTGTCTCCTTGGCACTGGCACCTGATCTGAACATTTGGATCATCTCTGGCCGTTTAGTTCTGGCCCAGGGCTTCCTTGTTGACTTTCATCAGGTGCCCACAGCTGCCCTGGTCTGTTCAAAGCCCAGTTCAACACATAAAGTAGTCGCTGGATGACTGAGCCTTACACCTCTGAAGGGATCTGTCTTTCTTAAATGTCTCTGTACATATAAATGCTTCTGTCCCCATACTGAGGTCCTCCTGTGTGTTGTCTGAGATGGTCAGAACACATTTAATTTTATTTTTCACATAGTAAACAATAGGAAACATACATTCACATGCATTCTTCCATGAAAATTACATGTACTGTGATTTCTTGGTGTTGATTATTTCAATATTATACTTTAATAGCATACATTAGTATCAGATAATGATGGCTGCTCCTATTGTTACAATTAAGAGGAGTCTAGGCTAATTTCATACACACAGACACATTCAGATGACTTTAAAATTTGCTGTAAGGTTCTTTATGAAAAATGATATGTGTTGACCTTTAGATTGATTTTTGAACGACTTAAAGTGGTGGCGAGTTTTATCTACACACCTGCGGTATGTAACCCAGATTTTGATGTCCTCTTTTCCATTTTTCTTTGATCCTCAATTCACAA